TCATCAAAACACAAGAATGCCTTGGGGCGCCTGGTGGCTCAGTCATTATGCATCTGCCTTTGGGATCGAGCCCCGCGTCTGGCTCCCTGCTCAGCGGGAGGCCTGTTTCTCCCTCTCCCACTCCCCCTGCTTGTGTTCCCTCTCTCGCTGTGTCTCTCTCTGTCAAATAAATAAAATTAAAAAAACAAAACAAAACACAAGAATGCCAGCTAAGAAAAATAGACTGGATGACAGAATTAGGAAATCAACATTTTCCAACCCCAATTAAATCACCAAGCCAGGGAATACATTTTAAAAATCAGAAAACCAAATTACTGAGTCAGGAAACAATAATCAACGGATGCTAAAATCTTTAGGTGAGATGTTACTGGGGAACAGGACAATCATATGGTACCAAAGTAACACCCCACAGATTTCTTGTTAATTATAAAGAGAAAATCACATGGAGAGTTCTGAGGGCCACCACCTAAATCATCACCTTCACTAAGAGTGGACAACTTACATTACATGCCTCCTGCTAAGATGTGACATAAAGCACACGACATTGCTTATGAAGCATTCTTATAAAAAATGGTTTAATCGAATCAAATCAAGCCTCTGATCCCAAGCACTTCTCACTTACAGGAAATTCAGGGGCTGGAAGGAAGAGCTAAACACCACAAGGAAACAAAGCATCCTATTCTGGGATACAGGACCAGTGCTTAAAGCAGGACAGTCACAGGATGGCTGGTGACACTACAATTAGATTCCTAATGTGGGGCAGAGCCAGTCTCTTAAAGTCAGTGCCATTAAAAAAAAAAGTGGAGAGACTGTTCTAAATTAAAAGAAACACCACACCCAAATGCAACATATGAACATATAGCCATATATATGGCTATCAAAGACATTTAAGGAATTGTGCAAGACTGTTGAATCACAGATCTGTACTTCTGAAACAAATAATGCAATATATGTTAAGAAAAAGAAGAAGATAGCAGGGGAGTAAGTCGGAGGGGGAGACGAACCATGAGAGACGATGGACTCTGAAAAACAAACTGAGGGTTCTAGAGGGGAGGGGGGTGGGGGATGGGTTAGCCTGGTGATGGGTATTAGAGAGGGCACATTCTGCGTGGAGCACTGGGTGTTATGCACAAACAATGAATCATGGAACACTACATCAAAAACTAATGATGTAATGTACGGTGATTAACATAACAATAAAAAAAAAAAAAGACATTTAGGAGGGCACCTGGGTGGCTCAGTTGGTTAAGCACTTGCCTTCGGCTCAGGTCATGATCCCAGAGTCCTGGGATCAAGTCCCACATCAGGCTCCCTGATCAGCAGGGAGTCTTCTTTCTCCTTCTCTAATAAATAAATAAAATCTTTAAATAAAAGATATTTAGGGGCACCTGGGTGGCTCAGTCGGTTAAGCATCTGCCTCTGGTTCAGGTAATGATCCCAGAGTCCTAGGATCGAGCCCCGCGTCGGGCTCCCTGCCCAGCAGACAGCCTGCTTCTCCCTCTCCTTCTGCTGTTCCCCCTGCTTGTGCTCTTTCTCTCAAATAAATAAATAAATAAATAATCTAAAAAAAAGACATTTAGGAGACAGCTGGGGAAATGTGAATACAGAGCAGTGCTACTCAGCCAGCCCATAGATGTAAATGAACTATGTCACTAAGCACATTGTTTTATTCAGTTTTTATGACATACTTTCTCAGTGAAGTATGTGGTTCACTGATATACTATGGTCCAAGCTCCTTATCTCCCTGTGTACCATCAAGCGGTCTGCAAACCATACTTCAGGAAGCACTGGATTCGATATTATAATATTTGTGAAGATCAGTGAGGTACTGTTAATTTCTTTTAGCTGTGCTTATGGTATCATGTATCACAGAGTTACATAGAAAAAGGTCCTGCTTAGAAGATGTATGCTGAGGGATTAAAGGTGAAGTGGCATGTCTACAACTTACTTTCAAATAGTTTGCCAAAGAGCAGATACACAGATAAAGTAAATATGGCAAAATATTAACATTTGCTGAATCTTGGTGAATATATTGGTGTTCATTGTGCTATTTCAACTTTCTTGTACATTTGAAAGTTTTCATGATAAAGATGACAGAAGCATGATTCTAAAATCATCTTACAAGATAATAACACTAACAAAATTAGCAGGAAGCTGATTATACAGCCAATTTTATATTCCTAGGGGAATATCTAAGTTAAAAACAGAAAGATAAGTAAAATTAGCCAGAACAGGTAATGAAAAGTGCATTCCAAGCTGAGGAACAGAGTATGAAAAGGACCAGAATGGGAGAAATTTATCTTTTCCAGGGAAAGGAATTTAATGCATAGAAAAATAAGGCTGTCCAGATTATGAAGGGGTATAGAGGGTGCATCAAGAATTTTGGACTTTAAAAAAAAAAAAAAGAATTTTGGACTTTTTGGGGCACCTGAGTGGCTCAGTCGGTTGGGTGTCTGCCTTTGGCTCAGGTCGTGGTCTCGGGGTCCTGGGGTCACAGCCCGAGTCAGGCTCCCTACTCAGTGAGGAGTCTGCTTCTCCCTTCCCCTCTGCCCCTACCCCAAGCTCATGCTCTCTCTCACTCTCAAATAAATAAATAAATAAAATCGTTTTGTTTTTTTTGTTTTTTTTTAAAGAATTTTGGACTTTTTAAAAGCAGTAAGAAGCCAATGACAGATTTTAAGCACTGGAGAAACATAATGACATTGGCATTTTAGAAAACTCACTATGGCTGTAGAGAATGGAATGGATGGGGGCAAGAGTGGATACCACAGCATCAGTTAAGAAGATGGCTTTTTGAGGGGCACCTGGGTGGCTCACTCAGTTAAGCATCTGCCTTCAGCTCAGGTCATGATCGAGCCCCACATCGGGCTCCCTGCTCAGCAGGGAGCCTGCTTCTCCCTCTGCCTCTGCCCCTCCCCCTGCCTGTGCTCTCTCTCTCAAATAAATAATAAAATAAATAAAATCTTTTAAAAAAGAAGATGGCCTTTTGAGCAATAATGCGGTAAGAAACGATGGTAACCTACAGGGATGGAGACTTGGTGATATGTTGGATGGGGGAAGGAGACAGAGAAGAAGGACTCAGATATAATTCCCAAGCTTTTGGCTTGAGTGACTGAATAGATTGGTATATTCATCAAGACTGGGAATATAGGAGGAAGAACAAGTTTGGGGGACAGATATGAAGCATGCAACATTAGATATGTTGAGTTTGGAGTACCCAGAAGATATCCAGGTGGAACCCCCTTTGTAGGCAGTTGGGTATGAGACTGAGACCTAACTCTGGTTTCTGGCTTAGGTAACTAATAGACAGTTTTGCCATTTACAGATATGAGGAACAAAAGAGAAGATAAAAGTCGCTTTCCCATTACATAAAATGAAAAATAGAGAAATGAAAATAAAACTTATCGGACTGCCATAAGTCAACACTTTCTTTTATCACTTTACATTATTTCCTTCTAGCATTTTTTAAATGGATATGTATGTAGTAGCTTTAATGGCCACATTTTTTTTCTGAGAAGGAGGCTTCTCCGTAAGTATTTAGGATTGAGAAAAATACTAGTTGACCCAATATAATTTTGTAAATCAGTTTTGTACATGTCTTTAGGCTGTTAAAAGATTTAAAACACAATCCAAATTGTTGGACAAGTAACCAGGGACAACTCCAGAGTTGAAGAAATCATGGACTAGAGGATGTCAGTTTCCATATCCAGTTTATTATATACTGGATCATTAGAGGATTGTGGAGCTTTCTGCATCCATATACTACATGGCACAGTTACGGGTATTCAGTCTCTTCTTTGAAGATCTTCTTTCCCACAGTGTCTCTACTATAACCAATTCTCCTTCCATATGTGAGAGCTGATTGGTGCTATTGTTCCTACCATTTTTGAAGGGTATTCTAGAACTTCAAAGCCTAGAAAACCCAAAGGGATGAAGCTCTGAGCTCACACAGTCACCATGCAAGCACATTATAGCTTATGCTGCTTTTTTTTAAAAAAGCTAGACTTGTTTCTAGTTCTAATCCTTGGCCACTTAAGGAATGCAGAACATATCTACCAAAATCTCTCAGCAAATACAGAGACCCAAGTCAATGTGTTATTATTACCAGCTGCAGAGAAAAGCTTAGTTGTATTGTCTCCACACCACAAACAGAGTCAGACAGAGGAGATTAGACTGAACTAGGATCAAGGGAGCCATGACAGGCTGACAGCAATAGGAAAGAACAGTCTAGATCTAGGGCCAAGGAGTGGCCACAACCAAGCCAACATCTGTGAGAGCTAGGGAACCTGAAAACTAAGGTTATAAATCTGTATCAGATAGAAGGCCTGCTATAGTTGACCCTTGAACAACACAGGTTTGAACTGTGCAGACAGACTTATACACGGATTTTTTTTCAATAAATATGATACAGCAAATGTATTTTCTCAATAACATTTTATTCTCTCTAGCTTCCTTTCTTGTAAGAATACAGTATATAATACATGTGACATACAAAATCTGTGTTAATTCACTGGTTCTATTATCAGTAAGGCTTCCAGTCAACAGCAGGCTAATAGCAGTTGTTTTTGAGGAGTCAAAAGTTACAGGTAGATTTTCGACTGTGTAGGGGGGTCAGCGGCCCTAACCCGTGTTGTTCAAGGGGCACCTGTATATTCTTCCTGCTTGAGATCCAAAGGTTGGTTTCTCCAATAATGCTCTCAGGATCTGCAATGTAGCAAGATGCCAGACCTGGAAGGTACTAAAACTCCAGCCTTAATAAACAACCTGCAGGGGCACCTGGGTGGCTCAGTTGGTTAAGCATCTGCCTTTGGCTCAGGTCATGATCTCAGGTTCCTGGGATCGAGCCCTGCAACAGGCTCCCTGCTCAGCGGGGAGTCTGCTTCTCCCTCTCCCTCTGTTGCTGACCCCACTTGTGCTCATTCGCTCTCTCTCAAGTAAATAAAATCTTTAAAAAAATAAAAAATAAAAAATAAACAAGCTGCAGTCCCATAGGAGGCTGCTTATCGAGCAAAGAGGAGCACCAGCTCACAGTGTAGGGTGTGGGGGAAGAGATCCACAGGCACAGCTTTTCTCAGGACAAAAGGCTCACCAACAAGCTTCTTAGCAGAGTCTGGAGGACAGCACAGCCTGGAGAAACAGATCATAATATTAGTTCCTAGATACCAAGGAGAACCTATAGGAACACCACTTTTTAAAAATTAAGCCCTTCCAGGGCGCCTGGGTGGCTCAGTTGCTTAGGCGTCTGCCTTCGGCTCGGGTCATGATCTCAGGGTCCTGGGATCGAGTCCTGCATCGGGCTCCCTGCTCAGCGGATAGCCTGCTTCTCTCTCTCTCTCTGCTGCTCCCCCTGCTTATGTGCTCTCTCCCTCTTTCTCTCTCTCTGTCTCTGTCAAATAAATGAACAAAATCTTTAAAAAAAAATTAAGCCCGGGGCGCCTGGGTGGCCCAGTCGTTAAGCGTCTGCCTTCGGCTCAGGTCATGATCCCAGGGTCCTGGGATCGAGCCCCGCATCGGGCTCCCTGCTCAGCAGGAAGCCTGCTTCTCCCCCTCCCACTCCCCCTGCTCGTGTTCCTGCTCTTGCTATCTCTGCCTCTGTCAAATAAATAAATAAAAAATCTTTAAAAAAAAAAATTAAGCCCTTCCCTGTGTTCCAACAGTCCCCTATGTTTCTCTCTATAACACCATTTACCATATTTAATGTAACTACCTGCGTTTTTTTTTTTAACCACCTTCCTCAGTGGAGTATAATTTTTTCAAGGGTGGAAACGAGGCAAAAACTGTTTATTATTCATCTCTGTGTTCCCAGGTTGTGATACAGAGTTCAACAGTGAATAGAGCAAGCAGCCTAAGTCATATATGTTTCTGTATGATTTGTACATGAAAGGTAATTAATTAACAAATATTACTGGATTATTCTATTGAAATTTTTCAAAGATTACTCATTTCGCTTATTTCAAAGGCAGTCCAGCAAAAATAGGCACAAAAATTCACCTATAAACTCACCAAGGAGAACCACTGCTGACTTCTCAGGATATATCTTTCTAAATATGTATATTTAAATTGGCTTCTTAAAATGGAGTCACACTACATATTGTACATACTGCTTTACAACTAGTTTCTTCAGTTCATCAGAGATCATATCCATCTCTCCACTATATGTCAGTCTACCTCACATTTATTGGTATTTCATTAAACATGTGTACCATAGTTTATTTATCTAATCCCTTGCTATTGGAAATTTAGGCTGTTTCTAACACTTTACTATTTCAAAAAGTCCCTCCATGAATATCCTTAATAGTTATATCTTTGCACACATTTTTAGTTGTTTAGTAGAATGGCTGAGTTGAAGGGCTTATATGTTTGTAAGGCCCTGAGACATGTACCACTGTTCTAAAAAAGGCTGTACCAATTTACTCTCAAACCAACAAAGCAGAAGAGTTCTTGTTTCCCTGGCTGACTCTCAACAGTTTAAATACCACTGTCCCACTGAAATCAGAACAAGGCAAGATATTCACTATTGCTTCTACCATGGAACATTTTCTAAAAAATTTTTTTAAAGATTTTATTTATTTATTTGAGAGAGAGAGAGGAAGAGAGAGAGAGAGCATACACAGAGGGAAAGTGAGAGGGAGAAGCAGACTCCCTGCTGAGTAGAGAGCCCGATGTGGGGCTCCATCCCAGGACCCTGAGATCATGACCTGAGCTGAAGGCAGATGCTTAACTGACTGAGCCACCCAGGCGCCCCTACAAGGGAACATTTTCTTATCCAGTGTAATAAGAAAGAAAAAGTATTGGAAGGAGAGAGACAAAACTGGTTTTGATATGGTGGTCACATGGCCAGCTACCAAGAAAATGGCCAGCTACCAAGCAAGAGAATCAACTAGAAAACAAATAAAACTAATAAAAGAATGAGGAAGCTGGACACAAGGTTGGCAATAACCACTTAGAAAAAGTAATGAAAAAGATCCCATTCATAATAGCAATAAAAACTTTACAGTATCTTATATTAAGAAGACCTATATTAGAAAAATTACACACACACACACACATATATATATGGCTTTAGAGAATTATATAAGACTAGAGTAATTGAAGAGACATACCACATACTTATAATGGAGGAGACTGAGCATCTTTTCACGGTTCATAAACACATTTATATTTTCTTTCTTCATTTTTCTTTTGTACTTTTTTCTTTTTCTTTTATTTTAAGCTTTTATTTAAATTCCAGTTAGTTAACATATAGTGTAATATTAATTTCAGGAGTAGAATTTAGTAATGCATCACTTACATTCAACACTCAGTGCTCATCGTAAGTGCCCTCTTTAATACCCAGCACCCATTTAACCCATCTCCCTGCCCACCTCCCCTCCAGCAACCCTCAGTTTGTTCTCCATAGTTAAGAGTCTCTTTTATGGTTTGCCTCTTTTTTCCCTCCATGCTCATCTGTTTCATTTCTTAAATTCCACATATGAGTGCAATCATATGGTATTTGTCTTTTTCTGACTAGTTTCGCTTAACATAATACACTCTAGCTCCATCCATGTCATTGCAAATGGCAAGATTTCATTCTTTTTGATGGCTGAGTAATATTCCCATGTGTGTATGTACACACACATATATATATACACGTATATACACATACACATATATACACATATATATAGACACACCACAACTTCTTTATCCATTCATCGGTCATTGGACATTTGGGCTCTTTCCATAGTTTGGCTATTGTTGATAATGCTACTATAAACATCAGGGTGCATTTGTCCCTTCAAATCACTACTTTTGTATCCTTTGGGTAAACACCTAGTAGTGCAGTTGCTGGATCACAGGATAGTTCTATTTTTCAGTTTTTGAGGAACCTCCATACTGTTTTCCAGAGTGGCTGCACCAGCTTGCATTCCCACCAACAGTGTAAGAGGGTTCCCCTTTCTCTGCATCCTCATCAACATCTGTTGTTTCCTGTGTTGTTAATTTTAGCCATTCTGACAGGAGTGAGGTAATATCTCATTGCAGTTTTGATTTGCATTTCCTTGCTGATGAGTGATGTTAAGCATCTTTTCATGTGTCTGTTGGCCATCTGCATGTCTTCTTTGAAAAAATGTCTATTCATGTCTTCTGCCCATTTCTTAACTGGATTTTTGTTTTTTGGGAGTTTGATAAGTTCTTTTTTTTTTTAATATTGTATTTATCCATTTGTCAGAGAGAGAGAGAGAGAGAGCACAAGCAGGGGAGGCAGAGGGAAAGGGAGGCAAGCAGAGGGAAAGGGAGAAGCAGGCTCCCCACTGAGCAGGGAGCCCGATGTGGGGCTCAAACCCAGGACCCTGGGATCATAACCTGAGCCAAAGACAGACGCCCAACTGACTGAGCCACCCAGGCGTCCCAGATAAGTTGTTCATACATTTCGGATACTAACCTTTCATCAGATATGTCATTTTTTTAAATCAATCTCTAGGAGTTTGTTATAAATTAAGGAAAAAACTCTTTATGATATAAACTACAAATATTTTTCCAGTTTGTATATTGTCTCCTATCTTTGATTTTGGTGCTTTTTATCAAGCAAGTTATTGATTTTTTTTAACTGTTTTACTTAGAGATAATTCACATACCATATAGCTCACCCATTTATACTGTTCAGTGGTTTTTAGTATACTCAGAGTTGTCCATCTATCAGAACAATCAATTCTGGAATATTTTCATTAACCCAAGAAGGTAATCACACCCTCCTTAGCCCTCACTCCCCATTTCTCTGCAACCCTCCAATGCTCAGCCCTAGGAAACCATAAATCTACTCTGTCTTTTGAGATCTGCCTAGTCTGGACATTTCCTATAAAAGGAATCATACAAGATGTGGCCCTTTGTGCCTGGCTTCTGGATACCTGTCCCTTATTAGATAAATGATTTGCAAATATTTTCTCCCATTCTATTAGTTGTCTTTTCATTTTTTGATAGTATCATTTGCAGCACAAAAGTTTTTTTAACTGTGATGATGTCCAATTATACACACACACACACATATTTGATACATATATTTTTTGTTGTTGGTTGGGTTTTGTCATATCTAAGAAATGTCATATCTAAGAAAGCTTTGCCTAACCCAAGGTCACAAAGATTTATTCCTGTTTCAACCCTTACATTTAGTTCTATGATCCATTTTGAATTCATTTCTGTGTATGGTGTAACAAAGGGAGAAGTTATTTTTTATGTTGGCAGACTTAACTACCTTTTAGTATATGGCTTTTGAATTTTCATAGTTAGAAAGGGCTTCTGCACTTCAGGATTATAAAGAAATTTTATGATTTCCTAGGCTACATTTATGGTTTCCCCTTTCTACATTTCAATCTCTGACTCCTTTGTAATTTATCCTGGTATATACAGGGTGAGATACAGATCCAACTTTTTTTTCACCCTGGCTACCCAGTTGTCCATCACCATTTATTGAACAGTCCATCTTTTTCCCATTGCTGTGAGGTGCCACCTTTATCATATACTCAAAAACATTTTTAAACAGTATAACAAAAATTAAAATAAAGGACAACTGGAAGAGGTAAACATGCAAGAACAGACAAGGAAATAAGACTGTGAAAACACATGGGCCTCATGCTTTTATTTTGGGTAGAAGCTCTTTGATGGGGCGCCTGGGTGGCTCAGTCGTTAGGTGTCTGCCTTCAGCTGAGGGCATGATCCCAGGGTACTGGGATTGAGCCCCGCATCGGGCTCCCTGCTCAGCGGGGAGCCTGCTTCTCCCTCTCGCTGTGTCCCTCTCTGTTAAATA